TAGATAAGTTCTATATTGTTGAGGCGGATTCATTTTTTTACAAACTTCTTTTTGGGTATTTCGCCTCAAAAATTTTTGTCTATAAAAAAGACAGAATTTTCTCACGTCTTTTATTACAGATTGATAAATAGTGCTCCTATTTCGCAATAAGAACGAATTATTTATCAATTTTTGATTACTTTTTGATAAATAATTCGTTCTTATTGCGAAATAGGAACACTATTTATCAATCTGTAATAAAAGACGTGAGGAAATTCTGTCTTTTTTAAAAACAAAAATTTTTGAGGCGAAATGCCCAAAAAGAAGTTTGTAAAAAAATTGCTAATTTATTATGCTTTACATTATTATACATGTTAAATGATTGTTAAATTCTAAATGTTGTTTATTTTTATAGTGTCATGCTTATTTCACCACCGAAAATTTTTTTATGATTCGCTACTGCAAAAACTTCCTTTCAAACTCCTTGTTCAATTCGGAAACTGTTTTGCCTCTTGCATTTTTTCATATCTGCCACCACTTTCGAGTTATTTGCAAAGTATGAGTGAAACGGAAAGGCGATGGCAGATTCGAAAAAATGCAAGAAGCAAAAAAGTTTCTGAATGTAACAAAGAGTTTGGAAGAAAATTTCTTCAGTTGGGAACCAAAGAACAGTTTGTGATGGTAAAATTAATATTACCCTGGAAAAATGAAGACCCTTTAAAATTTAAGACTCAGTTGGCATGTCTAATAAAGTAGAGCATAATAAATTAGCAATTTTCAAATTTGATCTATCAGTTATAGGAAAATGTTTTTAAATTTTCAAACTTTGACCGCTGTATTTTTAAAACGAAGTGTTTGCGCCAGCGTTTATGTTTATATGACCTTATTACAATTATTTTTTATAGAAAAACACGTTCCTAAAATTTGCAATCACCCTGAATAGAATATTATATATACCCTGCACATTGCACAACAGCTTGTTCATAATTTACCTTGCCCCATAACGCAACTCTGTCAATATACACCATTATACAAGGTGATTCAGGAGGGAGTTGAAATATTTTAAAGATATGCATTTCCTTCACATGCTTAAAATGATAAATGCAGACATTAGAAATTCGTTGATTTTTATAAAAATATAAGAGCTTTTGTTGCCTCTCTGGATATATCCTTAAATATTTCCATTTCCTCTTGAATCATCCTGTATAAAAAAGTTTGTTTGTTTGTGAAGGCATCATTTTACGGCTTTATTTTAAACCCGTTTTGAATTAATGTGATTTGATTTGCTTAGAATTAATTAGACAACCAATTTCAATGCTCTTTAAGATTTTTGTCTGCTCGTTTACCATACGCAATTATTTATTAACGCTATAAATAGCATCTCGAAGGACAATGAATAGATTGGAAATTGTTGAATAATATTAATTTCACCTGGTCACTATTTTTAATACTTCACATTTCTACCTCATTCTGTTTCATTGCTACTAGGATTTTTAAGTCATTGAGCAAGATTAGGATTGATTGACCAGGTTCTTGTTGTTTCAATTTCAGAAACATGCATTTCAAGGCTGGAGCTGCAGTTGCGTTGATAGTATTAAGTTTAGGTGAGTTTCACTAACGCATTGCTTATGCAGTACGCATACCGGCAAAAAAAATAATAAACGCAGATTTGACGCCTTAAAAATATGTGCTTAAGAACAAGGTCGTACATTCAATTATTGATGATTGGTCAGGTATTTACCGATTCAACTGTTACAACACATGTTTTTATCGTGTCTACTCAGTTTTGCGATAACAGCAATTTCAAATCTAATTAAGACGAGTTGAAACTTTTATTACGCTTGTTTGAATAAAGCCAAAATTATACAAAATTTTAACTGAAAAGGGGTGCTTCCTTTCGAAATAAAAATTTCCTATAAATACTTTTCAATCTTTACATGCTAGATTTCTTAAGATCCGTTAATCAAAGAACGACGCCTTTATCATGTTCTACCACCAAGAAGGCCACTATCTTCATTAAATTGGCTAATGATTCCTAATGTACATTTAACTAAATTCTACCTTAATTTTGTTTACTCTGTTTACTCTTATGTGATTGGCTTTTGCTCGGAAAGCAATTCAGTTTTCCTTTTAACTTTCTTGGGGATTTTTATTTGAATTTTAGCACATGCGCTTTATTAAATATTTTCTGTTTTTCACCATGCCATGTTTGGAGTAATTTTTTGTCATATGCTGTGACTCGAATTTAATAATTAAATCATATCAATATAAAAGAGAATAAAACCGACTCCTTTTTAAAAATTATTGCTTTCCATGCACCGAAAAAAATATATCCATAAAAAAGTAAAGTAGGCCGCTGCCTACTTCATACATTAATTGTATTTTCTTTTTTAGCTAGTTTCTGTATCTGTGATATTAGTTTAACAGTAAATAGTCATGACGTTGGTTTAAAATTGAACGAATCAGAAACGTTCCTTATACTTACAGGGTGAGATTAACAAGACATAATGCCTCGACGCAACATAATGTTTTCCTCTTTTAGGAGTAATTTTACATCAGTAAATGATACCTTACATATTATAATACAACACACTGATATTGTGTCAATAAATTTAACATCAATCGAGTTGAACTGGCTGGGGCCCAATGAGAGCGTGCCAATAGAGATCAAAGCTCTTGGGCTTGGTAGAACTGATATTTACTCGAACACTAGCAATACGCTGGCAAAGTAGGAAGAAACTATCTTAACGTTAAAGATTTTAGTTATATTGGATATTTTCCAGTGTGGATGAAGTTTACTTTAGGGTAACGGTTCACAGAGAGCCCTGGCTGGATATTTTTTCGACGACTATTGGATGGATATATTTCTTGGCCTGGTCAGTTTCGTTCTACCCTCAGGTTTACATCAATTGGAAAAGAAGAAGGTAAAAGCGATAGAAAATTAACGCTTGATCCGATAATTAAATCATCTATTTTTAGCGTTATAGGATTGAATTTCGACTTCTTGGCATTGAACATAGCGGGTTTCATATTATACTCCATATTTAATTTGGGCCTCTACTATATACCTGAGATAAAGGTGAGTGGAAATGTTCAGCCAATATTTCATTGCTCGGCATTTCATCACGTTGCATCATTCTTGGAACCGTACCATACAAATTATATTGGTTTTAAATAATTATAGCCTTAACATCTGCGAGTTAACTAGTCTATACCATGACCAGGCATATTTAAGAACGGTCAATGATTTTATGTTTACTTAGAGCAATTAACATCGCTCATAGGTGTTTACTAGTAGAAATTTTAGCTACTTTCGCTCCTTTCTGTTTAACTAAGTGTTTATGTTGATATATTTAGATATGGGCAAATAAATGCAACGCGTTGTTTCGGATTTTTTAATTAGATTAACTGTTCAGCGTTTCTTATTTTTTCCAAATGGCTCGCCTTCTGGTTTACCCGCAATCTGCTTGTTTCTCAAAACCCAAAGCAAAATTTTATACACCGGAATTTTATGTGGAAAGAGAAAGCGCAATCAATTTAGAAAAATGTGCCTCTTGCCATGTCTTTGTTTAAAGCAGTGTTTAGAACGAAAATAGTTCAGTTCTGTCCACGTTTGCATGAAATTTTACGCTTTAGTGGTAGCTTGCTGTACTAAACATTTTTTTATTAATTAATTGTTAAGATTATCTTCCAATTGTTAACCGAAAAAACTGGGCGATAATTTGGGAAGGATTCCAAAAATTTGCATACGCATTTTCAAATGCAATTACGATTACATTTGCCATTTCTTATGACAAACAATCGAGAGGGTTGAAAAGTCCAAATTGATAAAACCATTTAAACAGATGTTTTGTAATAGAAACAACTGCTAGCAATGCGTAAGACAGTCCAGCATGTTATAAAATCCTAGAATATTAAAAGTAACAAAATAACAAAATAGCGCCTTTAGATGCGAAAATTATCAAAGAAAAACAGTGATCATCTAATGTGCCAAAATAAACGAAATTTTTTGGGACATATTTGGAAAATAGTTAAACATTTGGAAATATGATTGCGTCATATGTAATGCGTTAGGTGAATTGGACCTGGAAAAAACCTGAAGGAAAAACCCAGCAGTTTATAAAACATACAGTTACGTATATTAACGACAAAAAATCTCTTTACAGAAAGAATACTCCGAAAGATATCCTAGAGGACTGAACCCAGTGCAAGTAAATGATATATTTTTCGCTGTCCATGCTGTGATTTTAACAAGCGTAACTATAGGCCAATGTGTTCTCTATGAAAGGGCAGAGCAGCGAGTCTCTACAACGGCCCGGATAATTTTGGGCAAGTTGTTTACAACAATTTTTATGTAGAAATTCGAAATTTCCATTTCCCTTTTAGGCTTTTTTGGCGTGTTTATAGCAATTTCGATAGTTCTTTCTGGTTGCGATGTTATCCATTGGATAGATTTCCTCTACTATTGTTCTTATGTAAAATTAACAATTACTCTAATCAAATATATACCTCAAGTAAGTATAAAAAAAACAGTATAATTACACTAAAGAACACACTCGAATGCTTTAAGCGCATTTTTCTTGCATACATATTTTAACATGTGGGTAAATACAAACCAGCTGAATGGTTTTTACTTTCATGACTCACGTGTAGATAAAACGAAATCAATTATCAATTTAATTTTGACGCTATAAATAGCAAACGACTGGAGTTCAACAATGTTGTTTCATGTAATATTTCCGAATAAAATAAAATAATTCCCATTTTAGGCTTTCATGAACTATAGAAGACAAAGCACATCGGGATGGAGTATAGGTAACATCCTTCTGGACTTTACTGGCGGAACGTTGTCCATGTTGCAAATGATTCTCAATGCGTACAACTACGGTGAGTTCGTAACACCAAACCATTTCATTTCGATAGGTGATGAAAGCAATTCAAGGCTTCTTGCGCAATTGCGATGCAGATTTCTTGGCAAAAACGCATATTTTTATATCTCGATCATTTTCAAATTACTTTTTAATTTTTTTCAGATGACTGGGCCTCCATTTTTGGCGACCCCACGAAATTTGGCCTGGGATTATTTTCAGTAGCATTCGACATTTTCTTCATGATTCAGCATTATGTACTATATAAGCACAGTAAATACGAAGAGAATTAAGTGAGTCTCCCATCAACCTCGAACAAACGAGTGAAATCTTCATTGTTGGAAAATCATGATAGTCGCCACAAAAGGCACATTATTTAATTCCGCAAATCAACGTCTTCCGTTAAGTTGGATGTGTCTTAATTTACTGAAACGGCTATCAACTGTTTATAATGTATTGCGAATGACAAGTAGATTATGGTACAAATATTTTTTTTAAAGTAGAAGGTAGAAAATAAAAAACTGAGTTGCACTCCATCTGTTGTATTACACTTATTCACATCATTAATAATAGTAGTCAAACCTATGATACCAAAAAAAATTTCGTATAGGAATAATAAGAGTACAGTTAAATGTGGAGTAAATTCATGAAACAAAATCATGTGTGCGCAAGGCTACACTTAGTATCTACCACTTCTGCCGGATCTGCGTGCAGGCGACCTGCTATTTCCTCTTCCCCTAGAGCGGGAGCGTGCGCGCTTGGGTGATCTTGAACGCGAACGTCCTCTAGGTCCGCCACCGCCACCGCCTCCACCTCCTCCGCCGCCTCCACCGCCGCCACCTCCACGTCCTAATTTTCTTCGCGCGTAAAGGTACCTGCAAACATGTGCTTTGAGCCATTTTTTCACAACAGTTAATGCTGCTTTTCACCTTCGCAACTCTCTTGAAATGGGCTTCAGATGCATGAAATTGCAAAATCCAGACCTGGTGCATTCACCCATTTCGTACTGGCGGCAGCAAGCTTCTCTGAAGTCCGTTACAGGACTCAGCTCTGCATAAACAGGCCGTCCGCCAAACCAGCGATTATTCAAATCGTTCACCGCACGTTCTGCGTCTTCTTCTTTTCGAAACTAGAACAAACGTTTTTATTGTTACACAAATGCACGCTTTATTGATATAAATACAAGGTCACTTACCTTAATGTAGACATTTCCCACTAAATGGTCACCCAAGTTGTCACAAACGTTCATTTCCTCGATTTCTCCATATTTGTCTTCGCATTCGACAAAAACGTCTTCAAAAAAATTGTCGTAATGCTCCTGCATCTCTTCGTCGGATACGTTGGCAACCACTTTAAAAAAAAACACGTTTGTTGTTTAGTCGAAATGTAACCACTTACGAAAGCAAGTTAAAGTTTAAAATTGCGAAAGTCGAAAAACGCACCTTGTTCCCACCTCACATGAGGCATTTTAGCGAGTTACCATCATTAATGTGAATAACATAAGAACGGGTTTAAAATTGTACTTTCAAGAGGGTACATAGAGCGACTAATTTTCGTTCGCCCATAGTAGTAAAAATAGCCATACACAAGGGACTTTGAGTGTTTATAAAAGTGAAAAATAAAGATAAAAAAGACATGAATGTGTTCACTTAACCGTTTTTGCTCAATCAACAAAACGCAGTGATAAATGAAGTAAATCAACAAACTTTAAAATGGGCTTGTAATTCAGTAATTAAAAAACATTATAGGAATGATTTATTTAAAAAATTTTGATAGAATATGAAAGAATTTAAGGAATGATGGTGCTTCTTACATATAATGTTTCTTGTCGCGTTTATAATAGAAGATAATACAAAATTGGGCTGCTTAACATTATTAGAACCCAGTATGACATCAACTGTATTCCGAAGTTATTGAAAAAAATTATTTGTTCATCAATGAAAAAGCAAAATGACGTTAATCTCAGCCATCCAAAGTATTCACGACAAAGCAGTAGTTGGTTCACTGTTACCCAAACGGGTTCAGCTAAAAATCACGTCCTATTTTGACCGACAAAATGTTTATATTTTATTTTCATACATTCCCATTTCAATCCTTGGGGTTTTTTAATTTTTTTTCTGCACCTTTGTTAGTGCTAAGGGTATCGGTTATGTAAACAACATGAAGTTTTTTCTGCAGATACTACAGATACTAATCTACAGTATTTACTGCATTTTTATGCATCAGGTTCACATGATTGTTCCTTGAAAATTCCTTATACTTGAACGGGGTTTCCGGAAATAAATGTAAGCACAATTGATGGAGAGATTTATTAAAATTAGCTAGCTTTCCTTTATTTAGTACTAAAAACCGATTGAAATTCGTGTAGGAAAAAGCCTTTCTATGATAGAAAGTTTCGGTGGTTTTTCCTCTTGTCCACACGTGTCTTGAAAATTGTTAGCCCCATTGAGTTAAGCCACTTTTTTGTCGTGTAGATTTTCGTCGTATGAAATAAACAATTACCGAATTAGTAGCTTTTCTGAGTTTTGTAAACAGTTTATGGGGAATACGGTAAAAGCAACCCTTAGGGCAAATTACAGAAGGCGAGTACTCTTAAAAGGACTATTTGACAAAGGCGAAAAACACCGAAACGTTTAATACTTTTTTAAATATCTAGTTCGATTTTGAGTCATTTATTTTCGGACAACCCTTTACTTCTATAACTACAGGACGTTTTAAGCAATGGTCCAGTAACAGTTTTGAAAAACCGCTATACTCACAGTGACTGCCGTCCGCAGATTTGGCAGAATTTTGTGGATTTACGTATAAATTCTGCAGCAAACAGGTTTGCGAGAATGTTGGTTTGTTATGGATTCTAGAACATCGGTCCCCATGTCGGCAAGCGCCGATTTTGAAATAGAACGAGCAGTTTACTCTGGAAAAAATTTTTGGTTTGCACTTGCGATACTCAGTTGCTGGATTTTGCACTTACTTATCTTTCTCTGTACCGAAAATTGAGGCCAGATATTCGGCCATTTTTAGTTAGTCAAAAATAACTTCGAGATCAGAAGTAAACTGAAAAAACACACCACACAACCATTAAAACTTAGTCAACATGGAAATCGCCTTTATCTATGAAATGGAAGCGTAAATTCATGTCGAAAATGAGACATGACAATGATGACATATGCAATTTAATAGGTGCGTTCGGAAGTTGAAATTGGTCGTTCCAACAAGCGTGGGCAATTTACTATTATTTCGAGGTTTTGTGTACTTTAATTAAATGTTATGCACGGTACTATTTTAATGCTTAATTAGCCAACACTAGAAAAATAAAAATTCAAATGAACACATTTTTATTCTACACCAAAATATTACTTTTTTCGTTAAATGCATTATGTGATAGCAGAATATCTATTCACCATTTACTACTACCAGTTAACAATTTCATAAGAAAATTATGACTTTTCTTTGAGATATTGGATTACTTAATTCATTCCAAATACATCAAATTATATAAAAACTGACGAATATGCAGATCATTAAATACTACTAAAATTAGTTCGTTTCCGTAAGTAAGAAAATAAAATGCACATTTTTGAGGTTTGAAATACTGAAGTTAAAATCGCAAACTCGGATTAACTAATGAAGTATGAACATACAAAACATAGAGCGCCGTTTTGGAACGTACTACAACGACATGTAAACATGAAACCTAACCTATAATAGCAATCAATAAAACGATTGCGTCTATATTTTTCTTCAGGATTTATTCTCAATATCTAAATATTAGGGACACTTAAGTTATAGATGCCTTAGCGGGTTTGCAGAGAATTTTTAATGGCTACATTAACTGAAGAAATGTTTACCAAATTTGAAACGCAAGAAGAATTACACAGGGTAAAATCAGGCGCTCCAGTTAACAATGTTTTCACAATACTCTTTACCGTAGTTTCTTCATAATTGCGTCAATGAGCTAAAGCTGCCACATCAAGAGCCCGAAAGCGTAATGAATGCAGTTCAATTTTTTTACCGTGAGAAGGCCATAGACGGGAAAAAGCCTTTAGAAACCACCTTACCAGGGAATCTTCAAAATACATTAGATGCAGTTTTCCAATTACGTTATACAGATATTGTCAATGCGATTGTTCATGAAAAGCTACATGCGACTGGACATCCCGTACTACAAAATATTGACTGGAAAGTAAAGTGGATTTTGGGGTCTTCAAAGTTAGCCAGCATACGAGAGCCGATTTGTCAACTGGAACTTCTCTGCATTACCATGGGGAGCAACTTTATACCAACCAGAACGTCCATACATTTTGAATGCGACTTGGAGAAATTGGATCAACTGATCAGCGTTCTTAAGAAAGTTAAAAGTAGCTTGATTCAAAATTAATTATAAAAAGTTTGAATTGGATATTTCCAATAAGAACCCGCAAGGAAATGCAGCTTTATTGTCTCCCGTGAGTATTATGATTGCTCATTCTTAAACTGTGCTTACTTAAAAGTATTTTGGGTAATAAGTTTCAACGAGCTTTGATATGTGAATGTAGACTTTAATGAGACTTGTGTACCTAATTAAAAAGTTTTAATGATTAAAAATCGACTAGTTTGTTGGCTAGAATGGCAATGTTTTATTTTATGTGGCCACAATCGCAATGGTTTATTTTTTTATTTTATATAATCAGTTTTTTCAAGCATATATGATACAAATAGTGCACTCATGTTTAATTTAGGCATTTCGAATGAAATCGCCATTATTACTTACATACTTTTCTAACACCTGACCTGATATTGCTGAAGGTATTTTAAGCAAAAATACTTTTATACTTGCAGGGTTTTAACCTTTCAAGTACAAATCAAATCGCTACTTAGTCATTTGTTTGATGGTGGACAAGTCATTAGGTACGCATTTCGCTCCGGTTAGAAATCAAAATATTTTAAACTGTTTCAATTTTCTTGCTGAAAATTGTTGATATTCTGATGTATGAAATTAACGTCCGCTGTTCTGTGTTATTTTCCCTGCCGATAAAGTGATTTTACAGAAAATACGCGACTTTTTCGAATTCGACTTTGCTGACGTTTCGCTGCCAAACTAAAGTGGCTTTTTAGCATGCGCCATCTCTTCAAGACTGAATATTTTCGACACAAAAATCCAAATTTTAAGTTTCGGGAATGTTCGTGATCTCCACAACATTTTTGGGACCCTCACTAATGGATTATTTGAGCATGGAAATGAGCAGTTAAACGGTATGTGCTATTTTTTCACATAACGTAGTCCATATATTTTGCACATAAAATTCAAACAATTCAACAACAGCTGGACTAAGAAACGTCGATTAGTTCGCTACTATCAAGGAATTAAACGTATTAGGATTATAGAATATATTTTGTCACCAAATGACCCCACAAAAAGCTCTTATAATTATGTACAAATGCTCATAGAAAGCACCTGATGTTCTTTAAGACATTTGCTCATACTTTACCTCGTTGAAATGGGCAAAACTTTTTACATAAAGTTTGAAATAGTTGAGAAAATTTTAATGATTGATCCATAAAAAGTTACTTCTGTTAATCTAATGAACATCGAAACGTTTATACTGTTAACTTGCATAATACATTTTTAGTATAACTGACGTATGTTATAATACCGATTAAAATAGTTAGATTATTTTGAATCTGAAAAGCATAACGTGTTTTTGAATGAGCTGGTTATATTTCTCTTGTCCTTGGACCAAAACGGAATATAATGTAAGTTTTTGTCTAAAAATACTAGACATGTAGTGAATCCTATGCATTTCTCGGTCAAAATTCAACTTTCTACAGAATCATTACGTAGCTCTTGACTTAAAAAGCTCGCCCGACGAAATATTATAGATACTTACAGATATTCTGAATATGAATTATATGACTAATTTTATGCAAAAATTATGATTTGCCTTTTCGTGAATTATCAATTATTCATGAAATATTGGGGGC